ATATAGTGCTGATATTGGCAATATTATCAGTGTAATTATTATCAGTAATATTGTTAGTGATCATAGGCAAGATTTTTAGTTGGCATGAACTTCATCAACCATAAAAGAGTCGAATCATTCACACTTGGACATTTTTTTTTTTTTCTTCAATCCTTTCAGGTGTAATGGCATGAAGAAACAAAATCAATCTTTTCTAAGTCTAGGCTATCAGTACTGAATTTACTTCTAACAGTTTCATTAGAAAACTACTGAACAATTTCCATTATAAAGACGAGTAACATAAATTGTTATACCTTACACATATTATAAACATATATGGATTATTAAACTGTCAGTGAAAAATATTTTACTGCTGTCAGCAGTGAAGCACAGTTTGTCCTTCAAATGCACTTCATTCATTTGCAAAGCTCCCCTGCAACATTTCAATATCATGATTGCAAATATTTTAAATTGCATAGGTCTGAGCTACTAAATTCTGTAGTGCATTTTTCTTTTTATTACAGGACTAGCTTGCAAAGAATTCAAAATAGAATCTTTGGAGAATACCCAGAGATGAGCAGAGCTGCACGGGTGTCCAGGCGAAGCAAAGAGCAGACACTAAGGCAAGTGGCCTCGGTGTCAGCAAGGTGAACTCTGGAGCTGCGGGCAGGAACAGCTCTCCCACAGACAGGGGAAGATTTATTGCATAAGCGTTTCTCATGCAATACAAGTATCAACCTGCCTTATGCTACTGCCCTGTTTACATGGCCAGATTATTGAAACTCGTGACTTAGCATGAACTTTTGTTGAGGGCCGATGACCTTTCCTTTCCTCTCTGCTATTTTTACGATATACTAAGATTCTTACTGATTGGGATTGCTGGTTTCTGTTGCATTGCAGAGTTTTTTCAGCCGTATAGCCACTTTCAAGCTTCCATTTTAGGTATATGGCTGATTAACTTTTTAAGGGCATAAAAGGTATTATGAGGAAAGCAAGCCATCTTTAATTTAAAAAAGAAAAAGATTTTGCAAACTAACTATGTACTCTCCATTTAACTTAACTGGATTTTTACTTGCAGAAGGTCTTAAACTCCCAATTTTAGGTGTCTTATGAAGTCACCTAAATTTTCCCTTCTCTGATGATGCTAGAATAAATGCTACTTGCCACATAAAATCATGGAGTTCTTCCCTAGCATCCCTCGTAATACTGTAAATTTAATACGCGTAAGGCTTGTATCTACTTAGGAAATTTTAATTATCTTTTCTTCAGATTTACTTCAATGTTTTCTTGCAATGAATAATGCAGTTTTTGAGTTGCTTTTCTGAATCTTCTCAGCACTTCCCTATCCCACATTAGTAAAACTGTGGCACTTTTCCAAAACATATTGTCTCATAAATCTTATTTAACCAGAAAAAATCTTTAAACAGTATTTTGCAGACCTACATCAGTGAATGAACATGGAAACTTTTTTGTTATAAATAGGATTACAGAAACCCCATAAAAGTCCATTTAGATGTTTTTCAGACCTTTTAGAGATTTTGAGTTTTAAAAAGAAAACTAAGATAAATATATCATGATAATCCTATTCATGATGCCTATAGAATCTTTATTTAATGGACTTGTCACTGCATATAACTAGCTCCTCATAATTATTAAAACGCTGTTGGAAAATAGATTCATGCTAGTGAATTTCCACTATTAATAAAAAACTGTCCCTGCATTTTATTTACTGTTGGATCAGATTGTATAACCATGTGCTCTGTCAGACCATTTATCAGTGACCTCATACAGAACGGGACTGTTTTTGTGATTTAGCCACTAGATTTAGTCAGAAGTCTAAAACTTCAAATGAGAATGTCTCATTCTGCAATAATTGCAGTAAACCAACATGTTACAGTGGTTCTTTCCTAAAAATCACATGTTCTCTTTTACATTCAGATTTGACATAAAATTTAAGAATTTCTATAGAATATCTATAGCTAATGCTATAGGCATTCATATCACTTGACATAGTATGTAAACAAAATAAACAAAAACATAAAGGCTTTTTCAGACGTTTCAGTATGTTCCAGAAGAAACACAACATAGTTGTTTCTTAATAGCCTAGAGTTTATCAAGAAAACGGTCTTTTCTTCTCAACAAGTATTTGGCTGAAAATGATACAGCATTAGAAAAGACTTCTGTTTTGAATAGTTAGCAATTTCTTTTAAAAACAAGCTTGCATTTTGGTAGGGCAGAGAACAGTAGTCTTCGGCATTTGATTTTCACATGCCTCAGACACCAGGTCATCTAAGAAGAACTGTTTTACTAATCAAAACTAGCAAGAATAGTAGACCTTCTCCACTTAGCTGATGTATTTATATACCAGGCAATTCCAGAATATCTATTTTATCAGGGGCACTCTCAGCAACCCAACAACAAGCAATAGTTTTGTCCTAGTTCTTCGTCTTGATGATTTTATAATCCAGTTTGATCAAAATCACTGAGACTAGGACACTGGAAGAGAATACAGAGGTTGACCAGCTGTAAAAATGAGCATATTAATTCACAATTCTGTATTTTTCTCTGTATATATATATATTTTCTTTAAAGAAACTTCTCTCTTTTTTTTCAGAGAGAAGAAAGTGGTGAAGCAGGGATGGAGAAGCAAACTAATTATATATATAAAAATCAGTAAGTGAAATAAATGACCCTACTAAGATCCCCACTCATGTTCCTTTCAAGAAAATTAAAATTTCTCTCATATCTAATTAATAAATTGCTAACAACCTAATTTCAAATCACTATGGAAGGTGATCAGTAAAACATGCCAAAATTCAACACTTTAAGCTGAAATCTCCTAATAAGAGCTACGTAAACACGAATATACACATGCATAATTGTTTCTATGGAGCTAGCTAGATTGGACACTAAATTTCTTCTCTCCAGAAGACCAGGAAATTTATCTTGTACAAAAATACCCAATTTAAAGACTATTTATGTTTATGGAGCTCTTCCCAGTATCCTCAATGAATTTGTACCTGTGTATTCTATAATTCCTGCCAGGAACTGCAATAAATACCAATTACATTTTTTAACGGGTTTTAGTGACCATAATACCAATATTTTTAAAGTAAATGGTCATGTTCTTTACGTTCATATGACAAATTTCCAAGATAGGCTTATAGGATGGATTAAAAAAAAGATTTAAAAAAATCTGGAAAACTGAAGCATAGTGTATCTATTACGCATTAGTTTAAAAAGCTCCTGAAAGTAGAGTGTAGATTTTTGTTCTTGTTTTGTTCAGTCATTTTTGACAGAATGATAGGAAATTTCAGCTTCAGTTCCTTGTCTCTAGAGAGACATACAGTTCAGCTGAAAACATCTACAAATGTCAGAAAGAAAAGCTGTATTACATTACTTAACAAGAAACTTAACTGGCATTATAGCAAAAGTTTCCTCCGAACTTTTAACGGTCTATCAATAGATAGGTGTCCATTAGGATCAGATGGAGAAGTTTATATATCTGAAAATGTTTGGGATCTGTCCATGCAGAAAAATTAGGAAAAGCTACTGCAACTGTCCATGAATAATTTTCTTTTCATCTGTTCTCTCTGAGATGTATTTCTTCCTATCACTGTGACAGATATCCTTCCAGGGAGCTGCATATACCTGATGCACTGGAATAACTGGCTTCTCCCCATGACTCAACGAGCGGTGCCAAAAGCAGCCTTGCTGCTCGTACATGTTCTCAAGCTAGGTCAAATTAAAAGAGCCAAACTACAGAGCAATCCAGCCTTTCTTCAGGTTTGAAGTTTGGCATAAGTCTCAACTCTGATATGATGTTAAAATTGCTGTTATTAAGAAAATCGTGAATCGGACTTGAAAAGAACATTAATAAGATGGGTAACCAGCCTTAGATATGGAAATGAAAAAGCAAGCAGCATCCATAATAAAAGTATAATGTGCCACAACTGCTCATCTCAATACCTCTCTCAAGTAAGGAAAGGAGCAAGCAAAAACAATTATACTGCTTTTAGTCTAAGTGCTTAGCATTTTAAACTAGGTGGCCAGTCTGTCCTGCAACCTTTATATGTTTGAAAGCCACCTTGACAGGAATGCATCAAGCCTGTTTTTCTGTCCTGCTCACAGAAGGAAACACAATAGGAGCATGTGACTATGGCAAGGGTTAAAAACACAATTAAATGCACAGAGAACACACCAGAAGAGACAGATTTTTCCATTTTCATCAGCCAAAAAAACCTATCAAGCTCTTTAAAAAGCCAGTGCATATAAATAATGTAACTGCCTAGGTCATCTGCAAAGCTTTCTATATAGTAAAGAATTGAAATATGGTTTCCTCTTCCGTTATTTGTTGTCTTTGGTCAGTACCCAGGTGCATGGAAAAGTTTTCTAAGTAATGTTTATCACTGGAAGAGAAAATTCTCGAGAGCTGCAGACTGGCTATTTTTTAGCAGGAAGAGAAGGATTTGCTTAATATTGTTCTGGCACACAAAACATAAATCTGGTCTCAGAGAGAGATGCTACATAGTCTAGTGCTTTATTGCTTCTTTCACAGATTGTATCCTAACAGAACTGAGAGAAGATTTTACAAGCCTTAAAGTGCAAATCCTTCTGTGTAAATATACATGTTCATTTTTTGGTTATTAGCTCTACAAATTGTGTTGCTTTGTTCCTTTAATACTATGAAGCCGTCAGGTCTTGAATGGTCTGTCATTTATCAGAGTTCACTTCCAGATCAGCTGCTGAACAGCAAAACTGGAGTGGTTTAGAGCTCAGCCATGTACATTTTCCCCACAAGAGCAAGTAATTCCATGTACCAGCAGTCCCATTTGCATTAAGAGGGACTCTGTGTAATTACAGATTTGAACAACTTGGCCTCAGACAAAACAGAAAAAAAACAGGAATTTCTGATCAGTCATCCTATACATCAAATATTCATTAAGCCCCAAATAGGAGGCTCAAATCATTTACCCAAAATAGGCACCTAGGGCCAATCGAGGCGCCCTGAAGTGTCTCACCTGGTCCCCAGCTGCTGCTCCAGAAGAGCGCAGGTGTCCTGCAGGTCCTGGGTCATATCTGCCAGCCCAGAGAGGATGTCTCGGCTACCCTTAAGTGTCTCAAATAGCACTAGGTGCCTGTATTTTAGCGACTGATTCAAGACGAGGCTGTCATTGCTTTACAGGTTAGGCAGATGCACACTCCTTCAGCAGAAGATACTCAGTTCTCAAATCACTGAGATCTACTTCAGGATAAACGGAAAAAGGGTTACATTTCTTCAGAGACAGCGAGTGTGTGGGATGGTGCTACTGCAGCGTGACATAAAAAGCCCGGTCTGGTACATGTGTTGTGAGGAGAACGGGGAAAGCGCGAGCGAGCGGCAGCGCGCACACGCTGGCCAGCGCGGGAGGAACCACGTTCCCCCGGCGCCGCGCGGCCCAGGAGCCTTCACCTGCTGCGGCTGATCAGAACCCGCTGTAATGAACGAGGCCTCATTGTACCCTGTTGTGACCAGGCTTTACCTCACTGCGTAGTGCACTGGGAAGCCCAAATAACGCACCTAATAATGTGCTAGCTGTAATGTAGGAAACATCGATTTAGTGTAGGGCAAATTCTTACTGTTCTGTTTTGAGACCCTGTACCATAGTCCTGATAGGACCTCCGCCAGGTAGGAGGTCCAACCCTGGCCACCCAAGACATATACGTGAGTGTTCCCAGGAAAGGATCTTCCTCATCCCCTTCCCTGCCTCCTTGTATCAAATCTCTTCTGCCACCTCGTCCCTCAGGACAGGGATTGCACTTCTCTGGGGTGAGACAGGTGTGGATCCTGAATTTCTAAGCATCATTAGAAACCTGTGAATATAAGCATGCGGGTGAAAAACATTGCTCTGTTTTTTAGGAAACCATCAGAACATTAAATGGATCAATACGGCATAGAGCAAAATACTGGCGAGCAATAATTAAGACACTTGTTTAAAATCCCAATGACCATCCTGTAGTCCTTACTTCACTTACAAATGCCAAAAATGTCACTGGTCTCATAGAGCACAGCGTATGGGGCAGCTGCTCAGTATCATGACAGACCTGAACATTCCTGTCCCAATGCTGAGACAAAAATCAAGTTTAGCCTGTGCTTCTTAGGAGACTCAACTTGGCTCTGTTGCAAATCTATAATTGTAATATTTGCAGTTTTCCAAAAGGAAGAAATACTACTTGATAAATGAAAAGCCTTGTTTGTGAACAATGGAAAATGCTACTAATCTGTACTTTCCTAATAGTGCCAGCTATCTTGCTACAGAATTGCACAGCATATCATATCACGTCATAAGAGACCAAAATAAAACCTTCCCAGAAACCCAAGTGCCCTATAATACTAATTTTAAGAGATTCTAAAGTTACTCCAAGCCAATGGTTTTGTCTAAATTTGGCTATAACTTCCTATAGTCAACTTATTTCAAAAAAGACTATGTTTTGTCCAAACATAAGATACAGTGCTGAACCATATGTTTTCTCTCTACAACTTATGAGTTGTATCTCTTAGAATGTCAGTTGAAAAGAAGAGCAGAGCTAAAGGTTAACGGGATATTTTTCTTCGCTTGCTATTCTGTCTTAGCACCAGATTCCCAATAATTACATAAAGGCTTCTTAGCCACCCAGTGATCTCTCCAAAAGACTCTCAGTACTAGTGTCTCTCTGAATGTATTTCCTCTGGTCAGATATTATTTGTCAGCTGTTAGACCATAGCTTCAGTTGTACAAATTAATTTAGAGTTCTCAAAGGCCTAAAATATACCCCTCTTCATATAAGAGGGACATCTGCATTCATTTTATTATACTATATTGAAATTTAGTTTAAAATGTCAGCTACTTAAAGAAAACAGAAGCAAAAAAAGGCAAAAGGACAACATTAGCAGAAGAGACTGATAATAATAAAATCATTTTAAATTTCCTAGCTCTCTGACTTTCTCTGGTTATTTTTTCTATGGAAAACCCAAAAAGATCACAGTCCCATCCTAATACTTCCTGATATAGGAGAAAGTGCCATTGTTTAATCCATAGCTAACTGCACCACTGTTTTTTATTAACTTATTCAGTTCAATTCAGTGTACAACAGGACAGGGCAACTGCTGAAGTCTTGAGAGACTTAACAGTGGCCTGGACTTCCTTTCAAGTAGGCCAGATCACGGTCACTCAAGGCCTGCACATTCCTTAGATGAACATCTTCATTTGAAGGTAAAATTTGAAAAGTGATGTTGGAGACAAAGGGAAAAAAAAAAAAAGTTCTTCTAGGATGTTCAGTGAAAGGGAAATTTTCCTTTCTCGTCTTCATATCACACAAGATTTCTGTAACTTGCTTCATCTTCCTTGAGGTCAGGAAATACATGAAGTCCAGACACCAATAGTTTAAAAATGTGTATTAATATGAACTTTCAAGTACAACTTATAACTTCATCCTGCCACTTTTATCTTTTTCAGCAAGGACAACTCACTTACCTTGTTGCTATATTTTCTGGAGAAAAATTCATAATTCATAGAAAAAAAAAGCAATAACTCATAAAAAAGCCCCCCAAAATTTCATAGCAATAAGTGGGCTTTTTATATTGTGTAATAAATGACCAGTTAAGATTTCCTATATCATATATATTTAATACTTGTTATCTAAGCTTTCCTAATCTATTTCCCTTTTTATCACTGGAAGCCTTCCAAAAACAATTCTATTAAAAGTGTTTGAAAACAAAGACATCTTGATTGGATACAAGTTGAAGTTGAGTAGAAATCTTACCAAAGAGGTGAATGAATTTCTACCAGCATGACGATGTACTGAATTGATTTCCTGTGAGTTAACTTATTTCTTAGTTTTTGTAAAGACAGTTTATTTCCATAGAAATTCATTGTGCCAAAATGTTAGGGAATAAAGTAAAAGGGGCTGGTAATGTGTGGTTATATTTGGTAGATTATATTTTCATAGCACTTTCTATCCAAGGATACCATGGCACTTTATAAACAAGTTGATACTTGCAACACCAAATTTTTATCTCCATTCTACAAATAGGAATATTGAGGAATATGAGAAGTCAGGTGTCAGGGGTCATGGGAAAGAGGACCCAACTCTCCTTGTTCACAGGATTACTATTAGCCACTCTTTACATGTGCTCCCCCAGAAGGTTTAAAAACTCACGCAGAGTACATTTCCCAAAACTATAGCCTCAGGACAGTACCATGACTACTAAAAACTATCTTTGCTAAATGTTGAGCAAATGCACATCTCCTGCTACCTCAGCAATGTGCAGAAGGACGTTTTGGCATTATTTTGTGTGGCATCGTAGTGCATTTACAAGCGCTTCTCAGGTCTCACTACAGAGTGTAGGACTAGGAAGCACAGGTCGGTTCCTTCCAACTGCCTGTTCAAAGCAGGCTTGGCTGCAAGGTCAGACCAAGTTTTTTCCCTAGGTCAAAAGGGACTTATCCGATGGGTAAATATGAATCATAAATTAACTTTAAATGACATTTTCTTTGTAAAATTCAAGTTTTGCCTTATGTTATAGAGTTACAAAAGCGACGCCTTTTCTTTCTTTACTGAATAATATAGGCAAAAAAAACAAGAAATAGGGTATATTGTAACTGCTACAATACAGTGGAGCTGTAATATTTCCAGATAACTACAAATACGCACTGAAGTGATGACAATACTAACATTAATTATGAAAAAATGAGAAAAGTACTGAAATTTAAAGTAATATACTTGATCACTTCCATCTAAAAAAAGATGAATTTAATGCATGAATTCCTGTTAATGAATACAAGGATCAGCGTATATCAAAAGTACATCAACTTGTAAGCAAAAAATTTTAAATGCCATTTTAATTTGACTTTGCTCCTTCTTGTTCTGCCTAACCTTTAAAACACAGTAGCCCAGGTAAACCTAGCAGGACAAGTTAGTAATTCAGTGCAAAGGATTTGATAACTATCAATCCCATTTGATTGCCATAATAGCATCAGAATCTATAGTAAACTTTTACATTTATAATATTGAAAAATAGAACAAATAAACCACATATAACCATTCTCAATCTGTCAAAAATCTTTGAGAAAGTCAACCTTTCTCTATAAGAAAATTACCCTTATTACCTTTCATAAATTCTTAAATTAGAGATAATTCTAGAGTGACAGGAACAATAATTAGAGTCTGGAGAAAAAAGTACTGATTTTGAGTTGCACCATGTTCAAAATGTTTAAATGTTCTCCAGCACCATATAATTCAAATTACATTCATGAAAGCTATACTCATTCAAATATAGCTAAAGGCTGGAGACCCTCCTTGTTTCTAAGTAACACTTAATCATGTAACTCAGTACTTTTTGTCACTGAAGTGACTTCTTATGTTCGTAAAATAAGGAAGAATAACAGGACCTTTTTTGTCTGCAAGTCATTTCATAAATGATATGATCAAAAATAAAGTAATAACGCTTAATGTTTCATTATTCTCCAAACCACATGAAAATAATTGTATGACTTTTTCAAAGCTCTTGCACAAGATCAAATAAATATCTCTCTTTCTAAATTTGTCTTTATTTCTCAATTGTTTAATTCTCCTCACCAATTATACTGCTTCCTTGCAAACAGCACTAAAGCACTATTAGTCTCTTTTATTTATTAAGTACTTAAACATGTTGCTAGATCCTGAGTTACTTTCTAGATATGCAGAGATGGATCAATACCAAGATTTGCTTCCATAATGAAAGAGGCACTTTCTTTTTTTAATGAAGAAATAAAATTGCTACTGGAACACGTAGCACATGTAATGTTACAAAACTCCTGGGAAAGAAAGAACCTGTTTCCTGTCAGGCGAGACAAACTGCTCTACATCAGATAATGAACGGATAGTACAATTCCTTACCTCAGAATCTCCCTTAAGACCTACTATTTACTTGTAGTAAATATTTACTTGTAGTAATGCAAGTAAATTTACTTGTACAAAATAACAAAAAAAAAGTAAAAAAAAAAAATTACTTGTAGTAATACTAGTAGTACTTACTAGTATTAACATGACAGAGATAGGAACCCCATTCCAACAAAGACAATGATGAACAAATGCTGATTATTTAACTCTAATGTTCTGAACTGTCTCCAGAATTTATTACTATCTAATCTTTTCTCCTTCTATAAATAAACTCCATAGAACCTAACTGAAATGTATTTTATTTCCCTACCA